TTTGAGAGAGACACTTTGCCGCAACAGCCACTTTAAATAAATCAAAAGTGCAGACAATTCAAATGCATAGTTTGAAATTTAATTATTCGATTCGATCGTCATTTGCGACATTGCTCTGCTAAATACCTGCATTTTATACATACGTACTTACAACAGAGTATTCAAGAGTATATAAATTAATTAAAAAACAAAAACAGATGTTGCACAAATCAAACTGTAGCACGATCTCTTGCACACATATACAACTGCATTTTAATAATTTTTGTTACCTTGTACCACTGCAACCCATGGCATAATTATGGAAGGTAGCCTTATGTGCGAATTTGTAACAAATCTATCAATTTAAAAAAAAAAAAAAAAAACATGAAAAATAAAGTCCATACAATTTTGATCTGTTTTTAACAAATTAAAAATGTATATTTTCTAAAGCTTTTACGTCATTTATGATGGATAAATCTTTATATAATTTCATATAAATATGCATGTTATGTACATACATTGTTGCATGTTGTTGCGGCAAATAAATAAAAAATCCTATAACCAAATATGAAAAATACCTTGAAAATATTGCAACCTATCTCTGTGTAAATTTTTATCGAGCTAAGTACATTTATTCAAGCAAAATTTAGCATTTTGTCAATGAAATTAGTGGACATGTCGATTTTAAAGAACTTGTAACTATATTAAAAGTATATATTTTTCACAAGGATTTTTTCATAATTGTAAAGAACCTTGGGGGAGAACACTTAAGAATTTAAAATGATTAAGATATATTTGTAATTATGATATTTTTATCGGTCTTAATTAGTTTTACATAATAGAAAACATGGGTTTAATCTTAAATTCTTTTAACCTATGAAATGCGTAATTTAGCCATGCCGAGAATTGGATAAAAGGTCCCAAAGGTTCTAAAATTATTTTATATAACACCGATGGAAATGTCCGACAGTAATAATTTATTATTGCAAATGTATGTATCCATTCTTACCACTTTTATAATATCTAAGATACTTATTATTAAAAAATTATGGATATGTGATTATAAATATAATCCAGTACTGCCACTTATAAGACTATTGGCACAAAGGAACTATTTTACATAATTATTAATTTAATATATATTTATGCATTCCATTGTATTGTATAAAAATATTGCATTTCGAAACAGATGAACCTAAATACAATATAGTGGAAAATATGCACTTGGAATGGTGAAACTTTTGAAAAGCGTACATTCTTAAAGTGCCGACTACTGGTGCACTTGCCCTATGTCAGTAATTTTGGTTTAAATGTAATTATGTTACAAATTAATATATATTTTTTAAGTTGAAACATTTATTTTTTTTTTCATTTATTTTATCAACAAACCATTTCATTTAATGTCATTATGATTGTGATTTTCATCAAAAATAATTTATAGTGTATAAAAATGTAATATGTAATGTAAACTATAGGCAAGGATGTACAAACATTAGTTAAAAATTTGTTTTTTTTACCAGTTTATGAGAACTGCATTGGAGATTGTGCTGATTATTAATAAAGTAAAATGTTTACATTTCAGTACATATTTATCTGATATTTGGACCTTGAGAGTATGGCCCTAACTGCGACTAGTATTTTGCAAAAAGATATAATGTACTTTCTATTCAATTTTTCAATGCCAACCATATAAACAAATATCTGAATTTGCAGCATCTTTGGGATATTGTTTGGAAACAGGAAATGTGACACACGTCTTGCATGATGTAAACACGCTGGCTCATCAAGGACGTTCTCATTTATAGCTTCTGATGGATGGCCGTACATTGCGATTACCTGACAAGAGGTTAGTCAGAAACATTCCAGGGAACACCTTCATAATTAAGTCAATGTCATCAGGACAATGTAAGCCATTGTCAACTGAATTAGAACCGACTCGTTTCATATGCATAGACACACTTTAGTCGTGATCTCATAATTGTTTATTAAAAAACTGCAGGTGATTTCAAAATACCATTAAAAGAGTAAAACAAGGACAATATGACATTTTATTTTGTTATTGTTCTCCAAAGGAGTAGATCGCTAGGAATAAACTACTCAATTCATAATACTGACAAATTGTATTTATTCTTCACATAGATACTTACATATACATATGGCAATATAACCTAAATCTCAAAATTCCAATTCAAAATATTGAAACATAATAAAATGAAGGACCAATGAGTTTTTGAGAAGGTAATATTACTATGCTGTTAATATTCTATACAGTTTTTAATACAAATATAGTCAATTTTTCAAATATTTCCTAAAGAGCGTTCACATTTATTTATGTCAGACTTGGTCCGTCAGAAACAGAGGCGTAAGTGGCATAAATTTGCGACGTGCGCCAGAAACGTCATAAACCTGTCCAATGCCAATAATTTGTAAAAAAATATTTATAAAAATAATCGAAATTTTCTATTTTGCCGGAACAAGTGGTGAATAGTCAGAGATATGTAAGAACATTATATCTTCAAGAAAATGTATATGACGAAATTATTGAAATAAATGACGTTACTTGGTACATCTCCGAGAAAATACCATGAATATGGCTTATGTATTTGGCCACTTAGTTGAGATGGTTAGCATGTCGTTCTTCCACAAATATGTTCATCGGTAAGACTCTGACGAAATATTTACTATATTTCGTCAGACGAAAATATACTAATTTGTATGTCTTCGCCAAGATCTATGATCTGACCGAAAAATAAATAATTATAAAATTAATGTATTTACACTTTTGTGAAAGTATACAGATACAAATGTACCAACTATATGTATGCCACTCTGTAAAGCGTTATCCTTTAATTATTAACACACACACAAAACGTGGTGAGTTCTTAGCTATACAATAGGAACGTTGTGGCATGAAACATGTAGATACTTCAACGTCAGGAATTGAATGGAATTAATTTACACATAAACAAAAAAAACCGACACAGCTGTCAACGCAAAAACAAAATGACGAATTTATGAAGCCAGACAACTCGTTTCCAATTCGAAGATAAAATTGAGTAGTTCGTACCAAATGACACAAATGGCACGGTGGTGTGAAAGAGAGAGACATACCACAGAGCAGACATTTTTAAAATAAACTTCCTATTAGATTTTGTGAACGAGTCCAACTCAATGAGATTCATGTGAGTGAGAGTTGGCAGAGAGGCGTTGAAAAGAGAACTGGTCGATTTGATTATGGTTAATACAGTCCTCTCTTTCTTACGTGGGCAAAACTAAGTGGGATTTGAAACCACTGAAAGAGATGCGAGAAAGAGTGATAACGAGTGTGAGATGAGTTCGCTGTTGGCGAGTGGTGTGTCGAAAACGTTGGTTTCGATATTTTCATTGTGGTTACTCTTAATGCCCATATTTCTCATATCGCGTTAGCCGTTGTTTTGTTGTTGCTTCAGCTCTGCCCTGGCCTGTTCATTGTGTTTGTTGGCTGTTTTGGTTCGGTTGTTTGTGCACAAAACGTTTATCATTCGCTAACAATGCCACCTTTTAATCTAAGGCATCTTGTTATACTCGCACACACACACACATATACATCATAACCTTATAAATCATCATCATTCCATTGGACTCTTTGACGACGCCTTCGAAATAACATTGGACTTTGGTGAATGAAAAGAGTGCTCATGTGGACGGACGGCCGAACGATGATTATGAATTGTGAATGGGCATTGATGGATGCTTTGAGGCACGATTTGACTGAATGCAAGTCTCCCACATTTCGTATTCTCTATCAAAGCGCTCTCTTTCACTTTCTTGGTTTTTTATGTCGATTGCCCTTACTATGTAGTATGTTCGGATGTATGTCGGTCTGTTCTAGTTTGCTTGCCAACGCAGCCCGCTGAGCAGAGCAGCTATAATTTCTCGCCCAAGAAGTAATGGAATAAAACTTTCAACGATGTTTTGAGGTGTTTTTGCCGTCAGTTTGGTTCCGTATACGGCTACTAAAAACGCGAAAAAACGAATCGGATTTACTTTACATGCCTACCTAAACTGGCCGCAAAGACCCGAATTCCACAGTGCTAAGCTAACAAGTCGAAAGTACTCTTGAGCAGTAGTATATAATTATATGAAAAACATATGCTCCTCCGCATACCCCTTTCTCGGATCCCCGGTTCGTCCCGTTCATCTGTCGTTCTTGAGTTTTTCCGTTCTCTGCCACTGAGAAAAGATACGCTGTTCCGCTGCTTTTCTTGGTCGCATCGGTTATGTGTTATTGTTGTTGTTGTAGTAGGTCGATGATGAAGTGTTGAAAAGACGGATTTCTTTTCACCAAAGCAATGAGTGCGATTGTCGTGTAGGCAATTGTCGACTTGTACACATAGACATGCATCTAAACAAACTTGCCCGCAACAACAACGAAGACACAGCACTGAACAGCAGAAAGCTCTCAGTCACAAAGATCAGCTGTTTGGCTGACCATTACACATCGGTGTAGCTCCTTCTGCCAGACTTCCATGCGTAGCATCAGGCCGATGCGCATTCCATTACAAAACAAAGCTGGCCTCCCCCAACTTCTACACTACAGACACTACAGCAACACTAACCCCACTTGGGTGCCACAAACGAAACAAAAAACTGACTGCACAAACATCTGATTGTGTACGAATTACGAAGCAAATAACAAACAACAAAGTTGGCAACTTTACGCGTTCACATAGGGGCGCCGCCACCTGACATTCTGATAACTGCCGTCGCTTAGCATCTTCATTCAATGGTCAGCCAGACAATGGAACGGTTGTCGCAACAATAACGGAAAAATAGAAATCCCCAAAACGCGATCGATTCTCAAAATCCCGTGCTCCACAGCCGGCACTTGGCGAAATTACGTCAAAACTGTTACTAAAAGTGGTACGGTTCGAAACGCGGTGATGACAAAAGACAATAGCGCACGCAAAGAATCGTTCATATATAACAAGTGTTCTCAATCAGTGTTTTGTGAAGATATCTGAAAAATGCTTTTTAGCCATATGCATGTCAAACGGGAAATACAAACGGATGATATACAACAGCACTGCCAATTCCAATCGAGTCAATGCGAAACCGAAACTGGTGATATCTGCTCAAGAACTGTTCACGACGATACCATCAATCTTTCTCAAATTCCATTGAAACGTGAAAGTCCCTTAGCACTTACAAATTCTAGCAAAAGTCTCAATAATAAAATTGCCAGCATCCTTAATAGCCCGACTGGCAATAACGGTAATTGTCCTTTAGTCTTCAGTTCGACGACCGAAACTAGCCGAACGACCGTCAGTTCCTGCATCGGCGGCGCCACGGATTTCTCAATAGCAGCGATAATGGCGAGAGGCGGAAATGCCTCGAGCCGCGAACCATCGGAGAGGAGTTTGAGTGAGTAATGTGCTGTGTACTTAATCGTTCTTACAACAAATAAACGCCAACACATACCGCACCACACACTGTATGCTATGTATGTACCGCACCACAGAAGTAGGCACAAACGCCTTCACGCTGATTTGAATATCCTTGAATATCCTTTCGTTCCTAGACCGAAGGCATCTTGTCAAAACTGTCAGTGTGCGTAGACGTGTTTGTGTGTGCTGTGTGTATTGTTATTACGTTAGCCGGGAGGCATCTCCTTGTACTTGCTTAAATCAACATGGCAGCACGTAGTCTGTCAGCTAGTTAGTCGTTCTAGTTCCGGATGAGATTCCATTATCTATGATTGGGTTAAGGACGAACATAAATAAATTTGATGCGATTTTTACGCAAAGTGTGTGTAAAAAGCGTATCAATGACATGACAAGTTTGCCGTCAGTGTGTTGGCTTCGTTTCCTTCTCGGCAGAGGGCATTATCGACGGACTCTATGGAAAATAGATGTAGTAATAAATTCCGAGTCGACTTTAATGAACTTTTGAACTTAATTAGCAAATGTAGGTTTTATACGTTATGGGGAGCTAAGGTTCAAAAAATTGATATCTTAAATATACTCTTCGTAGTCAATTGCATATCGAAATTTTCTTAATAATAACTTGTTTGTGACGTGCTTTCCAAAGAGTTGTAATGGAAATAATTTGTCTTCTATAAGAGTACTGTCTTCGAAAGTAGATTGTACTGTCGCGATTCTGAATAAATTGACATATATTTTATGATCAAGTCTCCTCGGGCAGATTCGGCACCGTTTGTTTAGAGCTATATATCTCAGTACTTATACAACAGATATAAAAACTTTATGGCTGCGTATTGCTTTCTGATACTTAATTATAAAAACTAGTACCGAACACATATGATAAATTAGTATTAGTTATATATTTTTAAAGTTTTGTCTAAAACGTAGCTTGGGCATGTGATGGGGCACATTCGACACACATGTGCATAGCCTGGTAATTATAATTGCTATCAGTCTAATTGCAATTCAGATCCACGTAATATGCAAAGGAAAAGGGAACATGCTATGAGCTCAAATTTCTTTAAAATGTATTTTACCGGTCAAATTTGTACATCTGTCATTTGATTTATACGTGTATACGTGTATTGTTGTAGGTCATTCGAATTCGTTACACCCAGCGTTGACTGTATTTGTTTTATCGCCACATACACTTTATCTCAAGATGGAAATGTTGTGTACTTAAATATATGCATTTTTGAGCATTTTAAAAAAAATATGTTATTTTATTGAATTGTTTCCATATTTTGTCCGTTTTTGAATCAGTGTCATACGAATGGCGGGCACGATAACTCAATAACTAATAATCCAATCGGTTCCAAATTTTGACACGTTTCTCTGGGAGTGTATAGCTATCGTATGAACTAGGATAAAGAACTACCTTATTTTCAACTTAGTTTGTGGTAAAAAATAGGCGAATTTCCAAAAATTGTTTTTCAAAAGTCCGTCATTTTTTAATTTTTGAGCGAAGTCAATAATCCTACCTCACGCGAGAGCCAGACATGTAATCTTTCTAACACCATTGGAATTTCCGGATTCCGATGTTCCACTGAGGAGTTATCATGCCCGTCATAAAAAATAAGGCCTTTTCTTTAATCACCAAAAACAAAACTACAACAACCAAACCAATCTGCCTAGTATCCGGACATTTTTTTATTCATTTACCAAGAGAATGAACATCAAATGGAAAGATTAATTATAAACAGAAACTTAGTTAAAAAGTGTAAAACGTCTTTGAATTTTCGAGGTAGAGTTATGTGGAGATCATTTCCACATCAATAAAGAACTGGACACCGTTTTGGTGTTTGTTTTTTCGGAAGCAGAACATTAAAAACTTTATCCAAAATGGAGCTGTATCCATTTATTCCAAATATAGTGTGAGTCTCTACATCTTTGATTCTTGAAAATGCGTATTACAATGCATTTGCTGTTTGTTTGCACATTGAAATCGGATATGGACTTTGTGGAAATTATCCGCAATTTAGCAGCTTTTGGGCATTTTAATGCAACCAAAATTATTTGATCGGCCGTTTAGGCGATTTCATAAGATATATTACACACTACTTTTATTTCAAGTTTATTTCTTATTTACAAAAACACACGATTGTTATTATCAGAAAGATGTAAACATGTACACAAAAAGTAATTATGTTTATATACGTGTGTCATTTCTGGTGGAATTCAGCAACAGTTAAATAATAACTCTAAATATCTCTAAATAAGAAATTAATAATGATGAAATTATTTCATCAAAAAATTAAATGAATAAATAATCCTAGTGACCAGATAATGTAAATATTTTTAAATTTATAGTAAAATGATGATATACTTTTTCACAATTATTTTAATATCTCCCTACTCTGATTTTGTAAATGGAGCTCTGTACCTATACTTGTGGACAATATAATAAACAATGTAGTGTTAATTTTTTTCTTATGCCCATTATCAATAAAATGTATCGCGAACGGATTCAAAACTAGCATTTTTAATGAACATATGTCCCAGAAATCATTGATGTTGCACAAAAATAAAACAGTCCATTATTTCAATATTGTGTTTTAAATATTGGAAATATTGCCCATTTATGCTAATTATTAATTTAACAAATTTGGCCTATAGTATATTTTATTCTCAAAGTTATGTTCAAATTATGCGACTAACATTGATACAAAAAATAAATACAATTGTTCATATTATCGTGCCAGGACAATAAATAGAATGGCATACCTGCATCTAATCAGAACAAAAAAAAAATTATCAAGTTTTCCCCTCATTTTGATGTTTTGCTGGCAATCAAAACCACAATTCACCTTCCACCGAATGTACGTATATCCACAATTGTTTGCTATTTGCACAGTAACCTGCAATTTTGCCTTACTCACTTCAATTAAATATGAACATGCAGATTTACAATTGTTGAAAACAGAGTTTCTTCAATAATTGAATACGGCACTCATTAATTACAAACAAATTAACAAGTGAAACCAGACGGGAGCGATAGAGAATAATTAATACATTTTTGAAATGCATTCATGTTTTATCTCTTTGATGTGTTTTGTTAATGAAATTTACAATCATACGACGCGGCTGCATTTATCACCGGCCGACCGTTCGTTTGTCGGATTCGCTCGTGATTATTTGGAAGCATGCACATTTGAAAAATGACTGAGATTTGCATAATAAAGCCATTCACTTGGAAATGTTGAAAGTTTTCTAATCATTTGCCACCGCTGAGGTGGCGGTGGATTCTGCATTGCTCCTGAGTTGCATGTTTTTTACTTTAATTTACATCTGTGAATAGGCATTTTGTTGTTTCATGTTTGCGATTATTGACTTAAATGCTGAAGAGAAATATTTCGCAGCTTGATTAACCTTTTGATGTTGCATCATGGCATCGTTTTTGGACACTACAAGCTGGAACAAGCATTATACTTGGGGGCAATTTTCACAAAAAAAAAAAAAAATAAATAATTCATCTTCAAAAAATATGACGATGTTCAAATTTTTGACCAAACTAATCTACAAGTTTTCTACTAGATCAATCTTCGGACTTAATGTTGGTTTGGTAAGAATATATGGCATTTGAGGGGTCATAGGAGGGGATAGACCCTAAATCCCAAGAACATTTTAGTTCATATTTTAAAATTAAAATATGTATGAATTTTGATTTCTGTTAGGGTTTTATAGAATATTAATCCTGGCCAGTTTAACATAGTCTTACTTATTTCCAAGAATGTCAACACATCACAACAACTTTTAATATGTGTCCATATTTAATATTGGAAATGCATTCATCTAATGTGGCGTGTCAAACTATTTAATTAATAGTTGTTTCGTCCGAAATAGCATTGAATTGCACTTTCTACTCTGGATCTGCGTTTGAATTACAATTGTACATTGTGCGAAAAATTGAATTTTTAGCTAAAGTTTTTTTATTGGTTACGACTGGGGGTGCAATTTCAAAAAATTCGGACTTTTATTGAACAATTGCATTTCTCTCTTCAGCAATGTTTTGCCTCTTGATTAGATTTACAAATTTAGGTTTGAGGGAAAATTAAATAACCAGCATACTCAAAATAACATAGCTGTCATAAATACGTATATTTTCGAAATATTTATCTACATATGTATTTTTTGCAATGATTTCTGAAAATATAACTTATTCGACCAACAATACATGACAAGGAAGTAGTCAAAAGCAAAACAAAAGACTCTTCTTTGAAAATTATTAAAAATTAAGCAAGGAAACAGTAGCAATATGTTTAGATACGTTTAGATACGTTTAACATGGTAAAATTATACAAGGTAACTGCAAAACTACAACAAATACAATTCAACAACAACCGCATAGAAAATACAAAATATCGATAAGTTCTATTTATTTTTAAAATGTATTTTTTTAATTTTCAGAGTAAACCAAAGGGCAAAGAACTTCTGTTGTGATTTCTTTGATAATGTATAATTGCCAACGCGCGATTAATACTCTTTTAAATAAATGTAATTGGAATTCTTATGCCATTTCATGGTTGAAAAAATTAAACGCTGATACTATATTTTTCCATCTTCTGTATATTTGACAATATAGCACAAATAACTGTCCCTATACAGTACATCTCAAATTGTATTATCGTATTTTTTATTTCAAATATAATGTGCTCTAAATTTTCCTGCTGGGTCTTCCTTCATAAATTAAAATGTCAGATCGAACATGACACTCGTATTACGATACAATCAAATCAGCAGAGTATTGCAGTTACCTTGTATAATTTCATCATGGTTTTTTGCAATCAATAGATATACATCACTACCTGACCCGGAAAATCCAAATTGAAAATCCAATTTTGGTAAAAATTATATTTGAGAACCCCTTTATTAAGATTTTATCAAATTTCCGCAGCAATAATATCAATAAGTTGTTCCATGTTCTTGTAAACCTTCATTGAAGGAAGATTGTTATTAGAGACCCAAAAACCGAAATATTAAGTTATTGCATGATGTACGGTATTTCAGTAAAACAACTTGTGAAACTTCTTCTACCAAAAATTGTTCAGTATAAGGTCAAGTTTTTATAACAACATTTAGACATTGGCTACTTTGTCTCTTGTTGAGGGATTGTTAATAAGTGGTTATTTGAAATTTGTATCTGATTTTAATTTTCGATGAGCGTTTTGCTATGTCCTAAATTTTTTTCTCAAATAATGCTGTTTATGTTTTATATTTAGAATAGGTTCAAGTTTTGGCAAATGCCCTAGATATCGAATATGTAGTTCTTATATGTTCAAAATTGGCTCAATATTATTTTGCGGTTTTAAGTCTTCTTATCTTTAATGCTGGTCTACATTTTGGCTGCCTGCTAATTGTCGGTATAGTATCACTTCTTGGAAAAGGGCTTACATAATGGCCACATACTTTCTACGGTTTGTGTTACTGTTTTTTAGTTGAGAAAAACGTCCCGATATTTTTCATAACATAACTTTCAATTGGCTTCTTATACTGTAACTTCAAACTACATAAATCTGGATTCTTTGGAAAGCGTGAGCATACAATGATCGCGAATAATGTGCGTATCTTACATATTTTTTTAGTATTTTCGGTTTAGTATTATTAATTTGAACTTCTATTAAATTTATGTTAATTTCACATTGAATTTTTTTATAAACATTGAATATGTTTGATTGTAGAAAATGAATATGTTTAGAGAAGTTTTCATAACTGATAAATGCAAAGTTAAATAAATTATAAACTACGAAGTTTTGCTAAGTATATGTTCAAAAAGAAAGAAGATATGAAATCATAAAAGCTCAATATAAAATGTGATGATATTCATATTATTTTTTTGCAAAATTTTCGCGATTTCTTTCATGAAAACCTTCCCACTTCTATTATAAACCCACTTCAAATCTGTCCAGCCGTTCTCAATTGGTTAGTTACTATAAATGTTTACACCATTTTCACAAAATCGCCTTTTTTCGTTTTTATACTACATCAATGATTTTTGGGGTACATATAGAGAAAAATGTGAGGATCCATTCGGGAACAATTTTTTAAAAAAAATCCTAAAAATTAATTTAGAAATATCTACATAACCAAAACACCGCGGTATATTAAACGATATCAAAATCACACATCTGTATAAATTACTTTAAAAAAAATATTTGTTTTTGGTTCGAAGAAATAATTTTATATTCTTCTATTTTACCCGAATTTCACCGACAAATTGAAATATATAAAATAAAAATAATCACTTCTTTGGGATTATAGCAAGACCCTTCTAAATCGCATAATCCTAAATCGCATAATCCTCAAAATGCGCATGCGGTTTCCAGAAAGTACTAAAGTTTATCTTCCAATTGGGTACATTTCTCTTTCGGCTGAAATTTTTAAAGATCTATTTTCGCAGAAGTTCATAATCTGTATTAGGTCATTTATTGAAACGGAAATGTTTCACAGAAAACGCACTTAATTCCGCGATTTAAAAAAAAAAAACGTTTTTTTTGCCAAATTTTGTGTTTTTGGAAGGCCAGTTCCCGCCGTTCTAGTAGATGGTTTTTCACGAAGAATATTTTATTTTATCCGGAACGTTAAAAAGCTTACTGAGAGGTTTTTTGGAAATTTGATCGCTCAAAATTTCCACCTTCGGATTAGCAATACTCTGAAGCCGTATATACTTCATACACAAAATATATTAAAATCGAGCTTCAAAAATGTCAGCATCAATCAAAGGGAGATGCAGATAATTTTTCGAAAAACGATACTTAAGAGACGTAATCCTCATTTTGTAGACTTTTACTTTGCACAAAGGCCGTGAAATTAATGCCTAAGCCACAAATCGAGACAAAACCAATCCTTTTTTCCATTAACTTAGACACCGCATCCAACGAATAAGTCCAAAACTATTAAAATTTTCTCGCGTGTTAAAGATATATATATATATATATATGAGAGAACATTCATAATTTTTGGTACATAGGTTAAGGAAAATATGATGATTCGAAATCTGTCCGTCACTAGATGAAAAATCTGCTCTAAAATAACCCTTTCTCACGAATGTTCACGGCGAGAATTCGAAAGTTTTTCAATTTATCGCGAATGATAAAGTTACAATGAATGAACAAGCATTTGCAATCTCTCGCAAATGTTCGCATTGTACGAAAAATTCAGAACGATAAAATTTCGATGCAAGCGTCCTCAATTCGTTCGTTCGCGAGCATTTGTTGCTGAAGAACATTCTTAACATTAACAAAACACATGTCCAACAACTATTGAGTTCACGAACTTTTTTGTTGTTGCTGTTTTGAGCATTCGCGAGTATTCGGGAATGTTTGTTTTCATTCGTGAGAAAATGTTAGAAAGTATTTTAACCACCAAACGAAACGAACGATCGTTGTTGTGTGCTCTCACTCGCTTGTTATGTGTGTGCGAACATTCTTTGGCGAATGCTCGTTTGGTAAATAATTTATCGCCATAAATTCATTCGTACAAAGCCAAAAAAATGTATTTTAATTCATTCTCGAGAGAATTTTTGCTCACCCAGCTGCAAAGGAATGTTTTGGTGTGATGCCAAATGTCCGAACACGGTTGAATTTAATTCGTAGATGCAATTTCGCCACAATATTCGACATAAATATAACTTATCAGGTAACGACATTTGTATGCCACATTGCCCAATATGCCTGATGAGCCGCTTAACCAACGACGAAGCTTTCATTTTCATTGCAACTTCGATGATGTAACTCATCTCGAAAGAGAAATTAATATAAACACATTTATTTTCTTTGCATACTTGTCACATCACATTGAAATACGGTTTAATAGTCGCCCAAAACAAATAGAAGCATGAAGATATCTGAAAATGAAGTAAATTAATTTTTTAATTAAAACAAAACGTTTTCTGAATTTTCGATTTGTTTAGAATGGATAAGGGAATACGGGTTAGCCTTAATCTTCTAAAATATGCGACGCTTTCATCTTCAAATTCTTACCGAAGATTTTTAAATATCGATGGATTCATCTGATAAGAGTTTCGACTTTAAAAATGACTAAATAGATTGCTATAGAGTAATAATTATCAAAAAATCGAGAATTGGGTGAAATCAGTTGTTGAGCATGCATTTTTCGATGTTTAATTTAACGTGCATAAGACTTTTATGCACATCAGATTTCAATAATCTCCTATGAAAATACACAAAAATACACCTAATTTAAAATAATTGGTTAAGAACCGCGGATGTGCCACCACAATAATTCGCGTATCGATGTATAATTGACTGTTTTCACATAGATTTGCGAATATGATAATACAAACATGAATGTATGTAAAAACAATTCGAAAAAATATACGCAAATTTGTCAAAATACGATTTTGCAGTTTTGCCTACATTCAAGGTACCAATATCCGCCGTTTTATTGCGCGGAATTGAACATGGCTGGGCTTATCATACATCAGAACCATATTGTCCATGGGGTATTATTCAAATTAGTCACTAATCACATTTAAGATTTTGATAAGAACACGTAATTTTATAGAAATGAATTTAAATTATATGCAATATGTTCATATTTAGCGAGCTATAAGCTTGCAGAGCTCAGCTTCGAGGAATTTAAAACATTTTTATAATAACCCATATATTTTAACTTACGTAAATTCACAGGTCCATTGTCACTTGAACGCTTTCCCGACGGCGAAGATGAACCGGACGTTGATGTGGTCGATTGCAGCGACACTGAGTCAGCGGCGTCTGTAGCGCGTCAAGCGAGACACAGTGGAGCAGTGCCTATTCAAAAGTCTCCATTTAAACACCGTATTAACTACAGCAACGACAGTGGAAACGGTGGTAGCAACCATAACCACAGTTCCAGTAGCAGTCGAGGGAGAGCGTCTCCCCAAAGCCCAACCCAAACGGAGGAAGAGTGTTTGTCCCCGGAGCCAGCGAAGGTAAAACGCAAAGTTAGCAAAACCCACTGAGAGTAGGTATAGAACACAAATTAATACTCTTAACTTTCAGAATTCACCCAAGATTGTTGGTTCCTGTAACTGTGACGAATTACTGCCCATTCAGTGTCACCTGGAGACCAAAGAGTTGTGGGATAAGTTCCATGAGCTAGGCACCGAAATGATCATAACAAAAACGGGAAGGTAGGTTCCAACAGATGGTTGTAGTTTTAGTTTCTTACGACATTTCATGTCATTTGTGTTTGAATATCGCAAATAAAGAGAATACTAAGTTGTGTTCGCGTACCACCACCTCTGCAAATGCGTGCCACGACCACGATAAGTCTAAAAGGTTTGATATATTATACTTGGCCACAATATCCACAAGTTCCATACGCAGCATAGCATGAACATTAATTTAAGCGAATACAACACTAATAACTCATCGTGATAATTCAACAGTACAGTTCCATCTACTCCACTCTCGTCAACGCTACACCTTTTGCCAGCCACAGCCAAACATATTATGCCAGAACCATAACAAACCGAACAGAAGACAACTGGACAGACAAAGCCATACACTGAGTTATTAGTTCGTAGATATGCAGATAGGAGTGCTGGTACACTCGCTAATCACGAATAAAAAATGGTCTTTAACACGATTTTGATTGGCAACTCGCAAGTACGCAAGTACGGGGTCTGCCGACTAAGATAATTGCACTGACCCTAAATTGCGGGCCGTCCTTCTTAGCCTAAGCTCCAACATTTCACTAGCTAGCATTAATATCTGTAAGAGTTATAAATGATGACATTTGCAACTTGTCCTTGGGTTAAAAAACGAAACGTTGCGATAAAGGGAAAATAAAGCATACGCATTGGTTATCATCCGATATCAAATAACTAACGCTTTCAATTTAATACAAACGTTCAAAAATAGCATAAAACAATGTCTACCACATTTAATGAAAGTCGGTTCGCATTTATATATAGTACGCATATCTTCTAAATTCGACTTTAATATTTTTGGTCTGGTCCCATCACTCATATTTCATTTAAGAAATCCATACTTTTGTTATATAAGGTTTCCTTAAAATACGTCATGCTAACCTAATTTCGAAGTTCCAAAATAGATAATTTTTTACGTTCAGTATCGGTAAGTTCAACAGTCTGTTGCTCGGGGTTGATTAAGACAGTTTGGAATGGTTATGAGAACGGTAGTGGTTGTAGTAATTAAAAACGTGATTTGTTTTGATTTTTTGCGCTACTTATGTGGTTCCCCTAAATTTCTTTGCTGCCTGACTAAATTATGCCTTTTTCGTTCGAAAAAGGTTTCCAATCGTTTAAGAGGTCCTTACCCAATCTTGATTTATATGTTCGACGATTTTCAGCCGCCTGGCAAATGAACATAATGCGCGTTCATTTGCCAGGCGGCTGAAAATCGTCGATTGAAGACTTGTAATGTGTATTGAAGACTTGTAAAATGTAAAAGTCTAGCTCTGGTATGAACTAGGATTATTAACTTTGTACAGAAGTTAACCAAATGGCAGACACATGAATTTTGTTTTTTGGAAAATCACCTATTTCCAACCACAAACCCATTTAGAAAATAGGGGAAATCTTCATCGTCTATTACGATAGCTATGACGTATAACGTATTCAATTTTGGAATGCATTGGATAAATAGTTTTTGAGTTTGAGGAAAAAACGCGTTTAATGTTTCGAGAAGCCCTCTGCCGTCGCTCGATGCTTACACAATGTCTTGAGATTTTCACTTGAAATTCTGAAGGGACATTCTGGAATTATTGTAGGTTCGAATTTCTAAATCGAGCAATTCAAAGATGTTTAATTTCTGCATCACAAGTCAGCTTTAGTCATTAGTAGACCTCGGATTTTGCATATTTGCATATTTTTTAATAATGAAGATATCGAAATTCTGATTGGACACAAATTCGTTTCAAAGGATTTAGAATTATTTGAAGGGTTCATATTTTTTAATTTTTTGCATATTTGCATATTTTGCATATGCACGAGATATGCAAAAAATATGCAAAATATGCAAAAAATATGCAAAATATGCAAAAAATATGCAAAATATGCTAGGTCGATATGCAATAAATATGCAAAATATATGCAAAATATATGCTAAAATATGCAAAAATATGCAAAATATGCAAAAAATATGCACGGTATACTAGGTCGATATGCGATAAATATGCAAAATATATGCAAAAAATATGCACGGTATGCTAGGTCGATATGCTATAAATATCAAAAATATGCAAAATATGGAAAAATATGCAAAATATATGCAAAAAATGCAAAATATGCAAAATATATGCAAAATATGCAAACATATGCAAACATATGCAAAATATGCAAAAATATGCAAAATATGCAAAAATATGCAAAATATGCAAACATATGCAAAATATGCAAACATATGCAAAATATGCAAAATTATGCAAAATATGCAAAATATGCAAAAATATGCAAAATATGCAAAAATATGTAAAATATGCAAACATATGCAAAATATATGCAAAATATGCAAACATATGCAAAATATGCAAAAATATGCAAAATATATGGAAAATATGCAAACATATGCAAACATATGCAAAATATCCAAAAATATGCAAAATATATGCAAAAATATGCAAAATATGCAAAATATGCTAGGTCGATATGCAATAAATATGCAAAATATATGCATAAAATATGCAAAATATATGCTAAAATATGCAAAATATATGCACGGTATGCTAGGTCGATATGCGATAAATATGCAAAATATATGCACGGTATGCTAGGTCGATATGCGAGAAATATGCAAAAAATATGAAAAATATGCAAAATATGTGCAAATATGAGCAACATATTTCACATATGCAATCATTTTAATCAAAAAAAAAAAAAAAAATTCAGGTTAGTTTTCGAATTTGTGCGCTTTCTTTATTTTTAACCTATAGAAATCTAATTGTGTATGCATGCGTTTCATGGTTCAACTGTTAGATTTTTGGGGCATTATGAAAAATTTGCTAAATATATGTATAAAAACATGCAAACATATATAACTATTATATGGCGATATACTAAAACGTGGACCGATATATCCCATTTCCAATGTGCAAAATTTCAAAGTTCTATCTTTAATATTGCGACCTAGCATACCGTGCATATATTTTGCATATATTTTGCATATGTTTGCATATTTTGCATATGTTTGCATATTTTGCATATATTTTGCATATGTTTGCATATTTTGCATATTTTTGCATATTTTGCATATATTTATTTTGCATATTTTTGTATATTTTGCATATTTGCATATTTTGCATATTTTGCATATTTTGCATATTTTTGCATATTTTGCATATTTTTGCATATTTTTGCATATTTTGCATATCGACAATGCATATTTTGTATATTTTTTGCATATATTTATCGCATATCGACCTAGCATACCGTGCATATTTTTTGCATATTTTGCATATTTTTTGCATATTTTGCATATTTTTTGCATATATTTTGCATATTTTTTGCATATATTTTGCATATTTTTTGCATATTTTTGACATGACCCCAAATATCGATCAATTAAAGCATGAAACGCCTAAATACAAAATTTGAGTCCAATCGGATAAAGCATAAAAAATATGCAAAATTCCGAGGTCTAGTCATTAGACTAACAATTGCAATTGCAGGAACAAAACACACATTTTTCAAACCCCGTTAGGGAATAGCAAATAATTGTTAACGTTGTGTTATAAGTGATATCTCTCAAAATGACGACGATTATCTAATGTCAGAAGTACGAACAAATATTTCGGACGTGTCTAATATATACATCAGACTTCGTAAAATAATGTAATTTAAGTCGTTGTTTCTAATAAACCATTTCTGAATGTAGGCTTATTTTGCTGTATGGCAACGAGGGGTACATATAAATTCTAACAATCCGAATTTGAAACCAAATTCGAATTAGTTCGTATGGTACAATAATTAAATTAATAACCAAAATATTACAACAATTATCTCGTTTGGTAGTTCGACTACTATCAACATGCCGATATAATAAAATGCAGCTTGTACGTGTAGTCTCCCATTGTTATTCATTCCAATATTTTCAGATAGGGGGTTGTGTTACAACCTAATTTGATATGCGAAGTAAAATTATTAATTAATTAATGAACTAAACGTTGTATAGAGTGATATGTTAATTTGGTGACCAATACCCTTAACGTCTGCGGTGTGAAATTCTTTGTTTGGCTACAAACCGCAGGGAAGGATAAAGAAGGACAATAAACGGACAAACAGGCAGAAGGCAAGCAGGCAGGCAGGTACACAACAAGGTGAAAAATGTGTTCGGTTGCATCTCAATTTTGAAAAATGACCTCTTGTACTGGGCTTTGCCGACATTCGTCAGGCGTTCTCTCTGTTTTTGTTCCACCTAAGACAAAACAAAGGCGAAGAAGGTGGCATTTTTTCAAACAATGACCGCATTCGTTTTGTTGTTCGTTGTCCACTGCAAACCATATTTGCGGTCATTGAGATAAAATATCACGTGGTTAACGGGTTTGTTACGCTGTTTGTTGTCGGTGCAACGCTGCTGCTAATGTTCGACGATCTGGACTATTTGACCTGCCCGTCGCTGTAGTTCAGATGTTAACCTACGGTTTGAATACTGCATTTGACTTTAATTGATGCTGTTACGCCTGGCATGACTGTTTACAAGCAGAAGCTGTAAATATTTGTCAACATTTGATTTTGGTCTGATAACAAAACCACATGACTTGGCATTTCTGAGAAATATGCGGACAATACAGACATACTTCTTTCGATAACACTGGGGAAAACTCTAAATTGGTGCAACATTTCATTTTTGCTGCTATGGTGAAGAAAATCACAATTTTCACGCTGTCCGTGCTAAGGACGTATTTGACATTTGTATTAGAACTGCATGAATTTCAAATACTCGTATAGGAACTGAGCAGTCGGTTATTCTCTAAGCCATTTAAAATAACAAAATGCTGACCCACTATGTGGATATTTTGTCCTTTTGGCTGTTTATGATATTTATGTAAAAGAAAAACACAGAAATGCTAACCCAAAAAACACAAACTAAGAGAATTAACATAATCCTCTTCCGTTATGAAGTGTAATTTCTGCTTAGTTAATATTTTCTCAAATCAACACCAAACACTTTTTGGAATGTTGTACTATAATTTCTTGGGAGCCTAATTTGCTTAATTTTCCCATAAACAAAGACATAAAATCCACACTTGGACAACTGTTTCAAAACTAAAGCAAATGGGAGATCCTGCAAGCACAAACCACGAGGGCAGTGGCAGAACAAAAAAGCGAACGGACCATCGACTGGAGTAGACTGTGCTTAGCTACAACGTATGAAGAAATGTTTGTTCTCGAATTCAAAGTCCTCCCTCGTGATGTGCTCTGCCCACCACCTTTTAGCAGGGTGGCGGACAAACAAGCGTTCCTATTCCATTGCCAAGGGGCTTACCATGTTATACATAAACAATTCTTATGTAAATTATTTTGTAGGAAAATATGATTTACGATCTTCTGTTTCTATTATCGCCCCTCCCTGAAGAATGCAGAATAGGGTCGTTTTGTTTCAAATATACACACATATCAAAAATAATTTAACACTTTCACTGTTTGCTCGACGACGACAACGGCAGCACATATTTTAGGACAAGTTAACACTTTGCTTCAAAGTAATTCATTCAGAACAACCGACTTATCGTGTACTGAACAGTTGCTGTAATAACATCGATTTGAAAAATTTGACAAATATGGAACCGAAAATCAGAATGTATTAAATACAGGCGTAAGGGACAATCATGTGGTTTACGCTTTTTTATTGTTTGTGAAGCAAATTGTCAATAATATTTGTCAATGTTTTATTTCAATTTAAATTATTGTCTTTAGCTTTGTGTTAATAATGATGCAATAATAATAGGGAAGGAACATTTGTTAATTAATGCCCCAAATGGAAAGGAACCGAACACGTACAAAGAGATAATGTTATGTAACCCATGTTAAAATTTGTCAATAAATCCCCAGCTTACCTCAAAAACAAAGGGTTTGTTATGTGGGATGTATGGCATTAGATTTCGTACTTTGCCCATTAGTTTTCGTAAAAAATCCCGGCGGAGGCCTTGCTAAACACTACATTTTTACAACTTAAGGGTACCCCCCATTCTTAGTGATTTAATTCGAATCTACACTTATTCAAGAATGTCCCTACAAAATGTCAAGTGAAAATCTCAAGAACTCTTGAAGATATAGCCGATGTATTGTGTCAGCATCAAGTGACGGCTGAAGGGCTTCTCAAACTTTAAACGCGTTTTTCTGCAAACATTGGCTTGCGAATGGCGGGCACGATAACTCAAAAACTAATAACCAAATCGATTCCAAATTTTTACACGTTTCTCTTTGAGTGTGTAGCTATCGTATGAACTAGGATAACGTTTTTTTTTTGTAAAAACGTACATAAAGCCTTTTAGACTTTTCCTCTAGTATGTTGTATGGCGATTGTGTTTTTAGGTTTCGTCTCGTATAATCTACAGACACAAAGTTTGCAAGGTGTTTTGGACTAATGGATGAAAAGGTCATTATGTATGAATATTTGTTTAATATATGGTTTAGGCAAACAAGGCTGCTTCAAAAGGCCCTTTCAAATAGACCGAAACATGCTTATTTCAGTTGGATTCCAAATGATAAGTGTCCAATGCCCGGTTAAGAATTCTACTGTTTCATTTCGTACTTATTATGCCGCAAAAGGGAACGGTTGCATTGCCATCATCAGAATTAAATGTATGACTGTCTTGTAATTAAAGCAGACATACCGCGATATGGTATGATGGCATTCCGTTCTGTCGAGAAAACAGCAGTAGTCTTTGGAAGCAAAAAAAAAAAAAAAAAAAACAAAACAAACAGACAGACAGTCGTCATTTGGAGTTGTTTTGATCCGCATGCAATTCGCCAAAGAATTACGTTTCGATTTCAATCTATGTCAACACTTCATTTGCCAAGTTTTATGTGGTGTTGGAATTTTGCTGGTAGCGACTGCTCCTGCATTTGTGCATACAAACATTGTATGTCATTGTCATTGCTTGTAACTTCGTATTCTGCAGTACTGTTCTTTATTTGAACCACCAGTTTCAGTGTATTTACTTAGCTGGCCACAAAATGGTTTATAATTATAGGAGTCACGTTTGAGAATAGTTTGGATTGTTATACCGCCGAAGTTTTTTATTATGAGAGTCCTTTATATTGCTTATTACAAAAACATAAACACATTTTCAGCATTCGGTTGTTATGGTCTTCGTTTTACATCTGTTGCAAATATTTTCAAAATTAAATACTTAAACTGCAAATCGATCGACGAAGTAAAATATTCTTTTCGGATAACTGTTCCATTTTGGAGAAGCCAAATTAATAGCATACTCGTTTTTATTTCAGGCGAATGTTTCCAACAGTTCGGGTCAGTTTTTCGGGACCATTGAGACATATGCAACCTCCCGATCGTTATGCTGTCCTTATTGATATTGTACCTATGGATTCTCGGCGATACCGTTACGCATATCACCGCTCCTCATGGTTGGTTGCCGGTAAGGCCGACCCGCCACCTCCAGCACGTCTGTATGCTCACCCAGACAGTCCTATAAGCGTGGATGCACTTCGAAAACAAGTGGTTTCATTCGAAAAGGTTAAATTAACAAACAATGAAATGGATAAAAGCGGACAAGTAAGTATCGCCATTGTATACAATTATGTGATATATCATATCATATATCATATGATATATATATATATATCATATGAATTCGAATATTTCTTCTTGGGGTGAAATTCGTATTATCGAAATTTTCTTATATTCATCCAGTTTTTTTCATTGGAAACCGCCCACAATTCTGTATGAAATCGCATTTTTATTATATTTTATTTATATATTAACTTTTTATTTATTATATAATATAATAAATAAAAATGTAACATATAAATAAAAATCCAAAAATCCACTAACATTGGTCGCTGTTTCAGATCGTTTTAAATTCAATGCACCGCTACCAGCCACGAATACACCTGGTTCGACTTAGCCACGGTCAAAGTATTCCGAATACGCCCAAGGACTTACTGGAGATGGAACATAAGACATTTGTTTTTCCGGAGACGGTTTTTACGGCAGTTACGGCTTATCAGAATCAATTAATAACGAAACTGAAGATAGATTCCAATCCATTCGCCAAAGGCTTCCGCGATTCCTCACGTCTCACTGATTTTGACAGGTAAGTTGGCAATAAATGCAAATTCGATTGTTTGTCTCTTGTTAGGAAATGGATCGATTTGTCGTAAGCTTCTATACGGAGTTTGACAAACACCTCTCTTGCTGATGCACCAGAAGCTATGATTATTCAATGAAGGCCACATTTACCGCACTGTTTCGTAGCAAAATCCGTGACTATTAACACTACCATTCCTCAATGTTTGAGAATATGTTTGGAGTAAAGAGTTGGAAAATGACTCAGACATTGAGTCAGCGTACAGTGGTTTTGAACAAATAAAAAATCGCCCAAAAGAGAAATGAGGAGAACTTATTTCTTAATAGGTGTAACATGACAAAATGATTCGAATCCGCACCATAGAACATAAGCACAATACGACCTACATTTATCTGAAAATGTTTGAGCGCAAATAAGTTATTTCGTGTTCGCTCATTTATCCCATTTCAATATTATATTCCACTGTCTTAAGCGTCAGAAATCTGCATTTCTTTCTGACTTCATATGGCATTGGCAGCATGGCAATGCGAATACCAATTCGATGGAAGAGGTGGTGTCGATGTTGGTTAGTGTACGGTGGAAGCAGTGGCGGCAGTGTTTTAAGTGGCGTAAATTATAGGTCGGCACATTTAACTTTGAAGCTCATACGTACACGAAAACACGATAATAATGAGCGAATGTCGAATAACATTTACTGCCGCCGTTCGTACTCCTCTGTCGATTAATGTTGTTGCTGTGTGTGCTAATGTTGCAGTTAGGCTTCTCACTGCAATTATCAGAGAACGTACGGAAAGTAGTATAGTTTTAACAGAAAATAATAGTTCCGCCCAAAATAAAATAACGTTTTTGTTGTTTGCTTTTTGTCGCTTTCTTGCAGAGATCCCATGGACTCATATTTGTTTGAACAACACTTTCGATCGCCTTTGAGATTTTTTCCAGACCCACTAATGCAGCAAATGTCCGCTCAGGATGCAGACGCTGCATCCTTGGCCTTCTTGGAAAAGGCCCGGCAACACTTGCAGATGTTTGGTCGGTCTCCGTACACGGAAATGTTATTACCTCATCTGTATCAACGTCCTCCGACCGCAGCGGCTTTGAATGCTTTCAACTTGGGAATGTGGCAACAACAGTGGCCGCAACTGACTGCCGGATTCCTAGCAAACCATCAGGCGGCAGCGGCACAAGCAGCAGCAAATGCCGCTGCAGTCGCAGCTGCCGCTTCCCGTAGAAGTCCACCGCCCATCAATCCACCACCACCCGCAACGACACCCTCCTCCTCCGGATCAGCTTCTCCGGATTTGAGAACAAAAAACTTTAATCGGTTCAGCCCCTATACCGTTCCCCAACAGCATCAACAACAACAACAGCAGGCTCAGCCGCCACCTCCAACAAGAAGTCCCCCGAACTGATTTCCATCGACCACTTCTTTCCACCAACCAGTGCAATCGTAAACAACATGACATAGTATCTCAAAAGAAGGGGATATTGTGGTTGAGTTGAGCGGCCACAGTAACATTAAAATTGTAAAATAGTACGTCGTGTGGTCATCTATAGACAAAAATCAAAAGCTAACGGAATGTATATAGCCATAATTCCTTAGCCATAGTCCTAAGAATTGAACAAATGAATTTAAGACTAGGACAATGGCATACTCGGAATGCGTCCTTTTGGAATGTTTACCTAATGTCAATTCTTTGTAGAAAGTGCTTTGTCAGTGTAAAAATGCATGGTCCAACAATGGGCCCGATATATACTTTGATTCCTGTATTGTATTGTATTATGTTACCGATAACTTATGTTTGTATTCGCAGGTGTGTTTGTATGTATAATTGTTCCTATTTGTAATGAGTAGCCTAATGGAAGTATTTTAGATAAATAAATGCATATTAAAGTAATCAACGGAATATTACTAAATGAACATGTATAGCGTAAGATAGAACACCTATTTAAATATTGATTTCACATTTTGTAAAATTTACTAAGATCTAACTAATTTATTTAAAGCTTCATTGCAAAATAAAGAAGAAAAATATAAATGAATTTTTAACTCTGTATTTCAATATTTGAAATATGTTAACTGCTGCTGTCCTTATAAGGCCAAAATCATGGAAGATCAAGATCGGCGGCCAAGTCCGTACAAAGGGTTTCGGGGAGCCCACTGAGAGCAAAGCAATAACAGTATCAATCTAAAATCAGACAGACTAGTCAATTAGGGGAACCCCCATTCGCGATCTTAAATTTTCAAGATTTTCAATGGGCTGGTAAATCGATACCAAAGTTTGTTAAGGTTTGTAACTTTGCAGATGTATATCTGAAGATTTAAAGGAAACGAAAAATAATTTACAAATTATTTTTGTTATTGTTTTGTTGTTTTTTATGGCCTCTTCTTATTCATTTACTTATATGCTTCCAAGCCTGTTTTGTTAAGACCATTCGGTCTATGTTTGCTGTCAGGTTTTACCTAATCTCATAGGAAATTTAGAATGACGTTCCGGTTATGGTCAAGGACACATATAAATTTCGGTAAAGATCGGATGATATTTGGAGGATGAAATAGACCGAGAACTCAATTTTTGTGTATTTTTTTCAAGTCGCTTTATGGACCACAATTATAAGTCGAACATCACAACACAACAAATGGGGAAGGAAATCTGGCCAACTAATTAGAAGAATTTTTTTTAGAAATTAAAATTACTCTTGGAGTATTGGATTGATAATGAGGAAGTCTAGGAAATTCTTTCTTATGGGTACGAACATTACTAAATGGTACTAAATATGGAACAATTTAGATTTGTGTCAATGGATAGTACTGCGATCCTGAAATTTGAAATAATGATTACTCTTGGCATATAAAACTGAGAAATGGGGATAGTTTTTAAAATTCATTCTTATGTGAAGTAAATTGTACTAAATTTGGTACAATTTCAGCATGTGTGAACAGATAGAGCTGAATTTTCGAATAAAAATAACAATTGGAGTGTAGAATTAAGGTAGATTTGAAAATAGATAGAGTTGGAATCTTGAAATTGGGAATTTAAATTACTGTTGGAGTGTAGGAAATACTAAACCTAAAATTTTGAATATTGCAAATTCGTACTTATGTGTACTAAATGTTGGAGTTGGAGTGCAGGATTGAAGTACTTAATTAATTCGTACTTACAGGGAAAAAAGTACTAAATTGTACGAAATACTGTTCAATTTGTTTTTAGGTTTGAATTGGGGCTTGAATTTTAAAATTTGGGATTAAAATTACTATTTTAATTTACGATTGGAACATGGAAGTAGATTTGCCAAGTTTAGAATTTATTGAAATATGAAGGTAGTTTTGGAAAGCCGTTGTTATATGTAAGAAAAGTAACATATGATACTAAAATCGGTACTATTTTTAGATAGTTCAACGAATAGGTAGTTTGATATGTGCTCTTGAGTAGCAAAACTACTAAATGGTATAAAATTTGGTACAGGTGAATGGATAGAACTGGTGAATGGGTAGAACTGAAATTCGGAAATATGTTGACGTTTGGAAATTCATGGAAATTCGTATTTATTGGTATGAGTATAGAATTGAATGGTACTAAATTGGTTATAATTTGGATTTGTGGAAACGGATGCAGCTTGTATCCTGAAATATGGAATTAAAATTACTTTTGGAATTCTGTAAACATTTTTAGAATTTTATAAAAATATTGATCAAGGTTTTAAAAATATGAACGACTAAAGATGGCAAATTATAGAAATAGATGACATTTAAAATACATAAATTTCAAAGATGACATTCACTTAAAATAGGCTTTTCTATTCTAAAAAAGAGTACAAACATGGACTCACAACACCCCAATGCTACATAAACTACGTCTGTTCTCGTATTGCTAGAATAATACAAATCTTATGTAATGGATGTTTTACTTCTTAAAAATAAAGAAAAAATGTCAATTTTACGCAATAGTTAAACGTTTCCCCTTCTTCAATTGGAAATGGGCTGTACGTTATGCAAATTGAACAGAAAATTACATGTAAATATTATCTGCCTCCCCGAACCTTTTCCATTTAAATGGCCTAATTATTCGCGTCATATCAACATCGCACTTGTCTATTAGATTTCAAGCAACCGAGGGTAAAAATATGTACAAAGAAAATTGGGCGGAATGAAGTTTTATACACAAATTACTTATCGTGGCAGTAAAACGCCTAATTTCAAACATAAATATCATTTGTCTGCTATCTCAAATGACCGATCTTTTTACTTACGTTTTTATTTGCATCCACCACCTCGGCTGTGGCATACACCTGGGCAGTGTACCATCTTCTAATGTCCCAACACTCGCCCACCCCTGAGACTGTGTAGGAGATGAGGAATACGAACTAATAACAATGGTCATAGACGTTAACGTCCCTTCGCATGTCTACCTTTAGCTTGGCCTTTATCGTTCCGAAAACGGCTTCATTTTCATCATCGTCATCATCAGTGGCATTCAGGCAAGAAGCCACTTGTCGGTGGCACACCAGTTTCTACAGTATTCTGTTGATTGCTACCTTTTTTTCGGGGATTCCTTATCTACACGCAATTCGCAGTTAAGTGTGAGCATTTAAAATTCTCGCACACACCTACACCCAGTCGAATGCAGGGGACCCTTGGATGTTGATATGCTCTTTAGTTTTTGTTTGCTGCTTTCCAAAAATGTTTGGTATTCTCTCGACAAAATATGCGCGCGTTTATCTAAACAATAATTTGTTGGTTAGTTGGTTGTTGGCATTTAACAAATTATTTCACACCCTCTTGTGGCCAAAAGTGGACCGAAAAAAGGACGAAATTTATGAAATGAAATTTGTTTCCGTGAATGGTAATGGAGAAACAAATAAGCTAAAACGAATGGAGCCAGAACAGTATTATTACCATGCGGTAATTTGCTGAATGTGATTTCAGACCAAATACACACATATACATATAGCATATAGCGTTGTCAATCCTATGAGACCCAGTGTTTCCCATAATCATCCAAATATTTTGAGGTGTTATATCAAATATCAAATACATAAATGTCGAGGCAAACTATATTACTTGTTATAGTTATGTTAATACAATGCATAAATACCACATAAAGACAAAATATGACACTCGACCTTTTTCTGGTTTGGAAGCATTATTTTTCCATAACTACTCTATTGGGTTTTTCTTAGTGCATTATTTCGAATGTAAATTACCGAGTAATCTGTGGGGTGATATTTCAATTTTAATAAGTATTTTAAATGAAAGCTTTACCGGCTGTAATTTGTCACACGCTCTCCTTCCAACAGACTAATGTCTAAATTAAGGAGATAATTTTCAAGGATATTTCAGGTTGCTGTCGTTATTAAATGTTTTTTAATTATAAGATACCTCTGAGATCCACAACAGAAGCCGGAATTCTCTCGTTCAGTTTTAGGTTAAGCGCCGCAATACAACAAATAAAGTCATTATAGTTCCTAATACAATTTTAATAAAAACCTGCGACATACTTATAGTTATGAAAAGTATGAGCGTGTGTATGCGTGAATATGTCATTGTGTCATTATGGTTGTGTCACATTGTCCTCTGTACTGCCATTATATATTCGCTTTAATTGCTGTCTCCCTTCATTCTAATCGATTCATTATTTATTGGTTATTGGTGTGCCATGTGTTAAATGAGTTTAAGGCATTGCAACCGTACTGGTGTTGTGGACTTCCGTTTTTGGAATGGTGATGATTGACTGTTCTTAGATAGACGCCGTACGAAAAAGTGTATTTGAACGTTCAGCTAATGAAGCCTATCAATAAATTATGATTTTGTCTTTTTAATGAAGGGGTTGAGTCTTAGTATTTAATGTCCCTTTGCAGGACAACGACGTTGAACTAATTATGTGAAGAGTTTAAGGAACAATTCAAATGGTGGCTATGGTATCATCTGCAACTGACGAATTTAATTCTTCGGCGGACATAACACAGCAATAGAAACGCACAAATGTATATCATTACAGTATTGCCGAAATGCATGTCCAGGCGTTTCAGTCGTTTCCTTCATGGGTATGTTACAGTCGACTAGCTGCAATTAATTACTGCCGTTGGCCAGACTTGAATTATCGTCGACGAGGCCATGCAGAAATGCTCATGTTAAGTCTAGCACAATTTGTACCCAGTGTACCCTTAACAAGGAAAGGGGAGAGCGCCAATCTCCACCACTAAGTTGGTGTATGGCTGAGAACAATATGCTTATTATGTAGAACAAGCATGTAAACGGGGATATCCTTGGAACATGCAAATGTTTGATAGACTTCAACAATATAAGCTGGGGAAGGGGAAACAATGAATATCCCTTAGATTGAAAGAAAGACGGAAGAAATTCACTACACATGTGTATCCTTGCGGAATCTGGTAGCATAGTCATGTGCTT